TGTCTGGAAGGGCGGATCCCTTTGCCGAATATCTGTCCCCCATTCTAATTGACGTCGGATCCAATCAATGTCGCCCTTGATCAACAATGAGGCATCCTCCTACCGGTGGGTAAATTTGTCAACGAAAGTGCGTGAGAGGATCTCGCCTTTTAGGCCTCTGATTATCTGGCCAAATTGGCAAAGTAGGAGAAGATTTCTCCCTGGGTGCTGCGCTTCAAGTAAGGGCACTCTACGTCGACAAGGAGAAGGAGCGGGTCGACCTATCTGCCCGTACGTCTGGCGCAGCAGCTCAAATTCTTGGGACAAAATTCAACAAGGATCCATTCTGCCGACCAAGGTTACCAAGGTCAGGGGAACGTCAAGTCACGGGGGGGGGGGGGGGGGGGGGTTGTCTCGCTTCCCCACGCGCCAGCCAGCACGTCAGGGCTGAGGTTGCGGCCGAATTTACCCAAATTCTTATCACCGGAGCAATTGGGGTTCGTCATTGGGCCGAGTGAAGCAGATTGTCCCACAACGGCCTTGCTCGAGAAGGCAGGTCGGCCATGTCGCAACCGTGGAATGCGACCTCGTTGGGCATGAGATCTCTTGCCAAGCACCGTTCAATTTGTGTTGCCGTGGCTGACGGTACCCGTCGTAGAACCGCAATTGCGAGAAACAATGCGGTACCACGGATGGCGGTGCGCAAAGCGGACGGGCTGAACCCCCTGCGCTTGGATGATCTGAATTAGGCTGAGCTTGGCAGGTCCCGTTCCTGAGCTCCCTTTGGAGAAGGATGCCCTTGGATGTGGACAGGAACGACGCCCACAAGAGCGGAAAGAGCTGAAGCCGGATATCATGAGAGAGCTTGCTATGCTTCAGCTCGTCTTTGACTTGTCCGTACATCGGCCTGGCCTCTTCTCGTGGTGCTGCTTGGGGGGGAACGGTGTGGTCACTCGCATTCTGCACGTAATCTGTACAAAATAATTACAACCACCGCGAACCCCTGTCATTCAAGAGCCGACGGCGCGTCTCCAACCGAGCAAGCCAGACCGGGGCGAGTGCCGGCGATCGAATCCTGATGGCGTCAGAGGCGATGAGACAGTCCGAAGTAAACCCTCCGAGCGCACGTGTGTATGTACATACAGATGAGGTAGCTACACATTGGTTAGTTCAACGTCCTGTATCGCAACTCTCCAACTCGAAAACAGTCAAGGAAGCTCGCATCTCATCGTGCGCTTCGGGTGCCTTGCAGGATAGTTTGGACAGACTGGAGGAGGTGTACTGTGTACACACATACCACGACTCATGGGGCGCGTGTTCCTGCAGGGAAATGTCACCTTCCTGGCTGAGGGCTCCCCGCACCGCCCCTCCCCTTGGATGATCGCCATCAACCGATGGCGTGGCTCCAGGGCTCAACCCAGGGTGCCATGCTTCCACAGCCGAAAACAACGCCATGGTCGTGCGACATGTTGAGGAAAAGGGCGTGCGCTTGATCTGGTGCGGAGCAGTCGAGCAATGCCGAGTTAGGCAACCTCGCAACCACACGGTTCGGGAAGCGCATGTCTCTCTGCCTGTTACTGTGTCGGTATGTAACCCAAGACTCCGGCACCCATCGCGGCCAAAAGCCTGGGCCGAGAGATCGGCTCGGCAGCGGATCCCGCATTCCCCATCAACCGGCCGCAAAATGCCGACAGCAAAACTTTGTGGTCATTTCCATGCTGCAGCGCCTAAATTGTAACCAGCTGCCGTGGCTGTCGCCCGACGATGCAGCAGAGCACATAAAAATCCTTCCGGCCACGGCTCTCCGCGTGTTGCAGCCGCATCGGGGGGAATTTCCCATCTCTCAAATGGTCCACGTAGGGTCCTTTGCAAGCTGCCAACCGTGTTGGGTTCCACAGGAAACAAGAATTGAAGTTACCGGTGACGGGGGTCGGGGCTCTCCCACAAGCTCATCGCTCGAAAAGGGAGGTATGTAAAGGCAGATTCGAAGAGGTATAGACCTACCTACCCTCCTACCCAAGGGAGCGTAGCTGGGGAACTTGGCGATAGCACTTAGCGGTTAAGGGAACACCAGTCGCTTGTTTGAAGGGCAGGCAGCCAAGATCGAAAGCAACGACCGCCACTGAGGGCCAGATTACCGCCCGGCTGACCAGGCGCCACCTGGGCCAGTTTGTGACTTCGGTGGTGTGGATTCGCCAAGATGTACTGCGTTCAAACCCATGTAGGCCAAGCCAGCCCACCGCCTTCCTTTTCTAGTTGACCGCCTTCGTATTCCAACTCTGATGATGTTTGCTCTTGCAACCATCAGAAATCCCACCCAAATGGCCGACAATCAGGACAACGAAGTCTTCGAGAGCACCGTCGACGTTCCAGTCGCCAGGGGCGTAGAATTTGACCCTCTCGGCTCCCCTGGGCTACCCTCTTTGCCCGACGAGTTCAACAATCCTACTCCTGACGAACCACCTCTGTTCCCCCCACCTCCAACGACGCCCGCATCAATTCCTCCGCCACAACAAACGGCCGTCGCTAATAATAATAAGAAGAAGAGGAAGGCGGCGATACCAAAGTCGGCACCGACGAAAGTCGTCTTCAGTAAGGAGATGACGGCGCAAGTAATGCTCTGGTTCAACGAGTGCCGGAAAAAGGGGATGTTCAACAGTTCGAAAAAGAAAGATTATGGCCCGATTTGGCAAGAGGTTTTCGAGCGCTGTCAGGAGCAGTGGCCGCGGTTTCCATGGAAGCCGAATATAATAGCTACCAAGTATGATACCGAGCGACAACGGTATCAACAGTGGAAAATGTTGGTGGATGGATACTCTGGCGTGACATTCGACTATACGGCCAACCTCCCCTGTGTATCAGAGTCGACCTGGGAGCAGTTTGTATTGCGGAACAACACGCTCTCGAAAAGCGTAACCTGGCTGAGGACAATCCCACTTGGCGATGTTGATGTCTACCGGTCTGTCTTCTGGCGGGAGCGGGCAAGTGGGAACCACATCGCCGAGGCTGACGATGCCGCTGATACCCAGGCGACGGATGTAGTGGAGGAAGAGCTGGAGGAGGATTCTAATCGTGATGTTCCGGTCATGCTTGATACGGAGTCTGACGAGGATGACGACAATGTCGCTGCCGTTACACCTATTCAGAAGAAGAGGAAGTTAACGTCGGCTCAACAACATCGTATCCGTACCGATCCCAACCTCACACCTACCCGGGGTAGTACTCCATCGACGGTTGACGTACCGGTACGACATTCCTCTCACCGTCGGGACCGTGAGCGCGATAGTAGTATCCTCGCAGCCAGCTTCAAGGATTCCATTACAATCCTCGCGGCACCACGCCTCGCCGGCGCCGACGATGTTGCGCTGGCGACCGAGGATATCCAGAAGCTATTCGCGGATAAGGTCGATGGGAGTGAATTGTTGAACTATATCGACTACCTGCAGCGAAATCCGATGTCCGCGGTAATGTGGAACAAACTCAGTCTGGCACTTAAGAGGTTGTATATAGATCGCTGGAAAGAAGGTAGCGCTTGATAGCTGTAATTGCGAATTCGACTGTTTGTTCTTGAAACTGCGTTTTCTGGCGATTTGACTGTTTGTTTTTGAACTTGCATTTTGACTATTTGTTTCTGAAACTGCGTTTTCCAGCACTTTTAACTATTTGTTTCTGAACCTGCATTTTCTATCTACATCGCCAATATACAACCACATCGTCAACTATCTACACGCCTCTTCCACCTTTGCCAGTTTTCCCACATCGCATGCGCCGCGGTCCATCGCACATCGTTAGGATGACGACTTCCAATAACCCTCCTTGCCCGAGTATTCGCCAGCGATAAAAGCGCTTGTTGATTGCTAGTCAGCGCGTCGTTCGCCTTACCCGCTATCAGGAAGTTATGCAGTCCGGTTACCGCATAGATAATCTGGATTTGCTTCTTGATATTATATTCGCCTGCTTCGACGCGAATAATCCTGAACCGCCGTTTGAGCTGCCCGAATACCAGTTCCACTACCACGCGGACCCGAGCATGCTGTAAGTTTGTCACACGGATCACCACGTGGACACAATCATCACCAACCGTTTTCAGAAATCAATAGCCACTCATTCCTTCATCGGCCAGCCTCACTAATTTCATTGGCGTCCGCGCCAAACGCCCTTCCTCACCTTCTCATCGAAACCCTTCATGTATAAGAAGACTCAGAATGTCAGATAGCTCCAGAACTTCTCTTTCTCTCTTCATGGACTTCTCGAGGCCATTGAAGATTAATCTTATCAATACATTTGGTTTTGCCGGTTCCCCCGGCAGCTGATTGTTCAAGCCCTGGAATTCCAGCCCTTGTAACAAAGTTGTATAGTTCCTTCTTTGTTTCTACTGGCCGCGCGGCATTGCGCCAGTCTTCCAGATGGTATCTGATGCCGGGAAAAGGTACGACAATGCCGTTACGAACACCGAACCCAGCATCCACCAAATAATACCTGTTTGGAGGTACGCGAAATGACCTTCCAAACGCCTGGGCACAGAGAGTCGCATCGTTGATAGAGCCCTCTGCGCCAGCCAGCACATAACTGAAGGAAAAGTCGGTCTTGACGGCGGCAAACACGTTCTGGGTTATCTGACCTTTGCGGTCGCGTGTGACGAACCTACTCCAGGGCCCCGTCCTGTTAGGGTTCAGCTTCGGCCGAAGGTAATCTTGCAAGGGTGCTTAGGTTCGGTGCAGCCAAAGGGTGCACAACAAAGACTTGTCTCAACAGTAGGCTTTCGAGCTCGTAGCGAACTGTAGTTGTGATTGCTAACTGGAGAACTCCCAGAGCTCTCCAGAACGAGTGACTATATACCTAGCTAATTCCAGGGTGCTCAGTGTGCTCAGTCTGCCCTTGGCAACTGGGCTCACTGATCACTGTCGAGCTATTGTTATCCTGATTGGTCATCTTTACCTGGTGCTCAGTGTGCTCAGTCTCGGCTTGGCGACTGAGCTCACTGATCACCTCGATCACCTTCCTGGCTCCCTGATTGGTCCTTTTAATGATTGCCTCGGGGGCGTCCCGCGACCCGAGGTCCCTCCTGTTGACATATTCGTGACATTGCGCCACCTCAGTTGCTGATGCCGCGGTATATGCGCTGCAATATGCGTCCCATCCATGGCGCCAATACAACCGTTGAAGGCATTCAGCCGTGGTTTTAACTCGATATTCGGATCCATCCAGTCGTCGTCTGGCAGGCGAACAAACGCCTTGTGCAAAGCTACCAACATCGGTAAGAGCTCGCTCATTACGTTAGAAACCGTCGGTTGACTAATTCCAAACCGGTGTGCCGTATTACGCTGGACCTCCGCATGCGCAAACATCCACAACACGACCATCACCTTCTGTTCGGCCAACAATAGTTTAGATGGCCTCAGTCCGGTGTTGGTTTTCAGCCATAAGACCAGGCGATAGAAGCCGGCTTTTCCTATCCGAAAGAGGTCTCGAAACCGCTGTTCTGGTCCCTCTAAGATGGCGATGGCGATCTTCCTGGCGTTCGCAGGCGCATCTGGTCCGTTTTGGTTATTAACCGACCGCGGCTTTCTGGTGTTTTGCAGTACATGGATGGCAAGTGTGGCAGCATATGCAAAAGCCACACAGTTGTTACGGTATATCGAATCCATGGCATCGTCAAAAACAGGGGAACTTCTTTACAATGCTGACCCCATACAATAGTGCTTCCCATCGTCAACGTCATGCCTGACATTACCATCGCGACCCCACCATTTCAGTAACTGGCCCAGTACGCAACTGGCCATCCACGGCCAGCCGCAGGACCACCAGCCGGAAGGAAAAATCGGGCAGAATTGGCCCACTTTGTACCATTTGCGGGCATATTGGCGACAACTCCACAAAGATACATCGCGAAGGGGGGGGGGGGGTGGCCAGTTTGACTGGGGCGTGCAAAAAGGCCTCTTAACAGCGGGACTCTTGGCGACTAAAAGGAGCAAATAATGGGGAGTCACACCTAGTTTTGGGTGTTCCTGGCCAGGTGGCGCCTGGTCAGCCGGGCGGTAATCTGGCCCTGAGTCGAGCTGTTACTCCAAGTTTATCAGCTTGAATATCGGAGCCCAGATTTGGTGCAGCTTGTTTGGCGGGGAGGCGGGCTCGCGGGTTTGGACGCATCCACCAGTGCTCAGCAGCTCAGCCACGCCGGGATGGCATCGGCACATGGGCCAAGAGATTTCATGACAACGATGTGGGTTTCCCCACAAAGTGGCGCTACTGAGCCAATCACCGGCTTCCTAATTGTATGTAGCCTGGCCCGCGGCTCCCAGCTTTTGGCTCGTGGCTGGCTCAGATTCGTTTGAGCCCAGGCCTTCGACGATGCGGCATTGCCAAAGCCGAACTCGCAACCTTTTTTTTTTTTTTCCTCGCGTGTAAGAACTGGGCTGCTTCCAATTCCATCCATATACCCACTTTGCAGCAGGCAACTAACGCACATTCCCGATAGATTAGTGAATTGCACTCAATCGCCCCGACCATGATCTGCCGGGCCTGTCTGCGCGCCCGGAGCACCCGGACCCTCCTCTCCTCCGAAGCTCTTCGCGGACCACGAGCAGGAGGAATGCGGGCGACGCAGAGACTGTCACTCTCGACAACCACCCCGAGTCTACGGCCGGTGACGGTGACATCTCGATTTTTTCGGGCCCAGCTTCCCCAACAACTCACCAGATGCCAGCCCTTTTCTACGTCGACCCCCCTTGCCTCCGCCGCGGCACAACCACAAGAACATGTCGCCGTTTCCACGAGCACCCCAGAAAAGCCGACATACCTCTCCGAAGGGGAGTCTCAAATCTGGGATATACTGCTGGCAGAGTTTACGCCCACGGAACTCGTGGTGCAAGACATCTCCGGGGGCTGCGGGTCCATGTACGGTATTGAGGTCTGCTCCGAGAAGTTCCGCGGCTTAAACATGCTCAAACAGCAGCGGCTAGTCAATGCCGCGCTAGGGGACTTGTTGAAGGAGTGGCATGGTGTTCAGCTAAAGACGAGGGTGCCGTAAGAGAGAGACCGGTTCATCATACCCCTCGGGCGTCGACGTTGAAAGTGTACGGCGTTGGTGGAGGCATCTTGGCGCCTATTCGTCTTGGGCAGGCAGTATTCCGGTTGCTTCTCGCAAGGAGACAGCACTCACGCAGCGCACACCTCGGACCTCAGTCCCAACCACTCCACTCCGATTTGCATACTTCCCCGTCTTTCGCCGTCTGTTGGGAACTTGCAGCCATGCCTCCCCGTGTCGCAGCATGTTTGTTAGCTTGTGTGACGCCACCACAGTCTCTGCGTCCTCATTCCACCGTATTCGGTTTGCATCGTCCCCATCGTGGCCATGAGGGCTGCAAGGAACCGGATACGACATCTGTATCACCTGATGTGGGGGCGTCTTTCCCGTGCCCTGGCACATGGATCTTCGTTTCGATCGCTGTAACTCTCAAGCCACCTGTAGTCGGGGGCTAATCGCCTGTGCTGCCGCCCACGCGATGCTCACATGGCCCGCCGGCTGGACTTGTCATTTCGGTTCCCACCAGACGGCGCTGGCGTACCCAGCGCAGGAGGTTCCACGGACGATGCCAGCCGTCAAGGGCCTCGAGAAGCCCCTTGGCGCCACAACGGTGTCTCCCTCCTTAAGAAATGGCCTTTAAGCTTTCCTTGCGGGCTTCAAGAGCACGGGGGTTCTCATCCCATCAGCAATGCCATTTGGCGAACGTTGTGTGTTTCACTGACAGATGTCAATCTTCTTGGGACAATCCCCGAATGCCCTTGACGACAAAAAGCCCGGAACTTTCGACCTGATTCGTGCAATCCGCAGCGCTCGGGCACGGCTCAGCACGGGAAGTCGTTCCCGAAGCCAAGGGCAGGGGCTGCGATCTGGGCTTTCGACCAATAACCACCAATTTAACGCCCGTGAAGCGGGGTTTGGTGTCATCGGCCAGCTCGAAGGTGTGGCAACCCCCATCGAAACTGGCAGATGGCCGGACGTGATAAAACCTCCAAGCATATACATGACTTTGCCCCAGTCTGCATGCTCATGTTTCTAAGAGAGATACGCCCATGGTAGCAACTTCGCCAGTGACGACGAATTGCATTTACAAGCCAGACCACCAACATTAAGTACGGTAGTCACGGTCAGTCAGTCAATCACCACCCTCCGGCAAGTTGCAAGCGGCAAGCGGCAAGCCGCAGCCATCATCACCATGACCCCGCGCAAAGGCTCCGCCGTCTCCTCTTCCCCGACTGGCTGGTCGCACACGCCGTCCACGGCGACGCTCCTCTGGATGGGCGTGTCGCTGCCGCTCGTCGCGTGGGACACGGTCTACATGCTACTGCGGCCGCACACGATGCCCGGCGGCTCGCTGCACGAACCGTTGTGGGTGCCCTACGCGCTGTACGGCGAGGTTGACCACATGTACGGCGCCAAGCAGTGGGACGCCCGCAACCCCTTCGCCGCCACCCAGAGCCTGCTGAATCTCGCCGAGTCCCTGCTGTACCTGGCCTACCTGGGGCTGTGGTATGCCTACGGCGCGGCGCCGGCCCCCGGGGCGCGCCGCGCGGTCGGTGGGCGGGTCGGCGCCCTCGCCGTGTTGCTGGGATTTAGCGCTGCGGTTATGACGGTTAGCAAGACGGTGTTGTATTGTGAGTTTTGTTTTCTTCTGCCTGGCACCCTTGTCTTCGTTGGTGCGTGGCAAAGATTGGCTGACTCGGGCTGGCTGCGTACCTACGGCAGGGCTACTTGAATACTGCTCTGGGTTCGACAATATCGGCCAGAACGACGCCTGGACGCTCTTGTTTCTGTGGATCATCCCAAAGTAAGTCCCGAGGTGTTTGTGGCCGAAACCGATCCACATCACTCCTTTTACTAGGGCTTCAAACTAAGACTGTGTAGTGGTGCTTGGATCGTTGCCCCTCTCGTTTTCATGGTCTTCGGCATGGGGGAAGAAATCATCACAGGGTTGACGCAAGGAACAAGTTCGGGAAAGAAGCAAAATTGAAGACATGTATTTCCCGTAGGTGCTAGCATGCGGCAGCGGGGGTACCAGGTAAATTGGGTGCTCGGGTATTCCGAGTGTACGTCAAGCATCTCCCTTTTGCATCTGACAACATAATCGCAGTAAATAAAGTTCAGCAGCCGTACAAAAAACTCCCTACCGAGCATCGCTTTGACCAATCCCCGAGTCCAGAAACCACTTTGTTCCCGACGTCTTGAAACCCGTCCCCAGTTTCATTCGAGCTAGGGCCCGCCGGGCGCCCCCCCGCTGTCCACGGTGTCTTATTTATCACGCTTTGTCGGAAGCATATTGAATCGCCACCTCCATGGGTGCTTGGAGCAGAGGTTTCCAATCCGCAGCTGGCTGGTTGAGATGGCCCCGGACATGAAAAGACGGGGTCACAACGAGGTCCACTGGGTACCCTTCGTAATAGCCCGGACCGGAGCTCAGATAGTGAGGCTTGACATCTGGGCGCTTCTTGTGAAGGAAGCCGTGTGCTTGGCCCGTTTCCGGGTCCGTGAAGCTGAATTCCCAGTTTCGTTCGTTGCAGTGTATGTACCTGCCATCACGTATGTCAGCCACGGATCCTCCCTGTGGACACCGGAAAGCCAACATACCAGTCCAAATAGATGGCTGCCTCAGCAAGCTCGACGATGCTCCGATTCAAACCCCTCCGCTGGCCTTCGGTCATGAGACTGGCCGGAGCCAGCGGCCGAACTTCTGACGGAGAAGCCCAACCACCGATTCGAAGTTATAGCGAAATTTTGTGCCCCAGCGAGCCGACCTCAGCAGCTCCACCGTTAGGGCGCGCCAGATCAAGTGCCGGTTCTTGAGACGGTTTGCCACCACTGGTCGCCAAAGGGGATCATGAAGGTTGGTCTCCTTCTGGTCCGCTCTCAAGGTATCGGGCGTCAAGTTGGGAAGGGCTGCGTAAGTGCGTCGACATGTTAAAAACGGACCCGGCGGCAAAGCAGTGGATGGGGAAAAGGTTCCCACTCACTCTCTATCACACGCAGGAGCTCATTATAGGACGTCCAGTGTGGTTGGTCGCCCGGCCCCCTGAGGATGTCGTCAACGAAGGTACGCCACAGCCACCCTTGAACGATAACTGGAAACCATTCCTTCGTCAGTTCCGGCCTCCAGGCAAACCACGTCAAGAGCTTGGCTTATCTCTTGCCCCTTCTGGAGTCTCCAGGTATTCCTTGGCCTTTGGCGCCCAAGACTTGAGCATCTGTTGGGTTTCGACGTCGAGCGACCCTTAATCTACAGCTTCGGTCATGGACCTGGCAAAGTTGGAAATGCAGCGATGCAAGGTGGTAAAGCCCTCGCAGACACCATCCTGGGTCCCGGGGTTAAGGAACCCGTCCAGCAGGCCATCATTCCATGCGTCGAGGCGAATCTGGGCCGTTGTCTTGTTCTGGCCATCACCGCGCCCGAGGTTTCTGTTTTAATGTTCATCCAGGGCGGTTGGGTTATTGCCGGTGGTATGGCTGGGGGTGGCGGCATCAGGACCGGCGACATCAGGTTGGGAAGAGGACCCCTCTGTGATGATGTCTTTGTTGCCGGTTGCACTAGGTATGGAGGCATTGGGGTCTCCGGCGGCACCGGGTAGTATGGTGGCGTTAAGTCGGGAAGCAGACCCTTCCGAGATAACGCCCTCGTCGCTGTCGGCTGTGCCGGGCACGGCACCAGGGAGAGGAGTGTCCAACTGGCCTGCCATGGCTGCGAGATGCTGTTTCTCATTCGGGGATGACGCCTTGGACTTGGCCGGCCGTTTGCCGTGGCTTTTCCGCCCTTTGACGCCTTTGGTCTTCTCGGGCATTGTCGGTGCGTTTAGGGGGACGCTGACGGCCTTGCAGGTCCGAGATGGTCTCGGTATGGCCATGGAGTACTGGGGAGCGAACACAAGATCAAAAGCGGAAAGCAAATACAGATGGCAGATTCACATGGTAGCCTGCAAGTTAGGGAAGAGAAGGGCAAGGGCCAGGGCAGAGACGGTGTGGCGTGGGTCTAAGAGGTCGCCCCGTGGACCAGGACAAACAAAGAAACCCCCCACCCCGAAAAGGGGCGGCGGCAGCCCGGGCCCTGCTGGTCAATGGCGGGAGTCCTTTTTTCACTCAAAGCAAACGGAAGTAACCAGCACAGCTCTGGCAGTTTCTGCTGTTGCTTTCAGCGCTTCCCTCGCCCATGCTGTCTTTTCCGACCCGGAACCAGAGCCTTGGTGGAGATGGACTGGCCATCTGCATAGGTACCTATCAGGCATTGAGTTTGGTTGAGCTGGTTGAGTCCCAGCGCCCCTGTTCTCAAACAAGAACCAGACTGCTTCGGTAGCAAACAGGGCATGCTCCTGCACCTTCCACCTTCCCCCCATCTCCGTCTTTCGTCACGAGCTCTATCCACAGCCTTAGTACGCGACGGCACATCATGATGACGAGCTCTATTTTTTCTCAATTCCCAGATAACCGGGGTGGTTTGCGGCTTGCCATCGGCATAGACTTTGGCGCGACGTGAGACCCCCTTCTACTCTTCCTTCCCCATTACTTGGGCTCCTAACACCAGTTTCTCTAACGTACTTTGGCTGAGGCAGGTCCACGGGGGCATACGTCAGGTTCGGCGGGTGGGCCTCACACAAACCCGACTTGTCCATCAGCAACTGGCTCAGGCAAGCTGGCAGTTATCCGAGCAACCACGCCTACAGGACGCCCACACGGATCGCTACGGACTGGCGGGACAAAGATACCGGCGAGACAGCTCGCTGGGGTTCCATGAACCTCCTGCATGGGTAGAACGGGTCCCTTCTCATTTGGCGCCCCGGCCGGGAAGACGGCCTAACCTCCGCTCATGTGGCAAGCCTGAAACCGTCGGGTTCACGCGGTAATGCTTTTTTCCTTGCCAAGGCCATAAGTTGCGCGCCAGGGTGATGGCTGACGAACTCCGCAGGGACGAGTTGTTGGAGAAATTTGATCTGACAGTGAACAAAGTCGTGGGTCTGATTCAGGATCAAGTGGCTGACGTGCTGGAAAACCATCAGAAAATGCCTAAGGTATATACGGCAACAATGCCGCTGTGGAATGACAGGCATCTAATCACTGTGTGCTCGCCAACAGTCCGTCATCGTTTGTGGCGGCTTCGGCGAAAACAAGTACCTGCGGGCTGAGTTAGAGAAGGAAATCCAACGCATGGACGACGAGGACCCCGGGATGGGCACGCCGATCGAGCTCGAGTTCGCCCCAATGGACACCAAGTGAGTGCATCCTTTGCTGTGCAATAGTGACGCACACCCGACCGCATCAGTGAGTGGTCTAACAGTTTTGAAGCTGAAAGATCGTCTCAATGGGCTGTGCCCTGCACTCGTTCAACAAGGGGAAATTTGGGGGGTTGAGCCAGTACACCCAACCATCCGTCCAGGTTGCTTCCCGAGTGGCTCGATTCAGCTACGGCATCGCCGCCAGCAATGAATCCATGCCCCGTCAGTTCATTACTATGGTGAGACCAAACACACTCCCAACTGGCATCGCCTGCCGAAAAAGTTCGTGCTTTTGCTAACTGGGTCCGCTGTAGGGAAGCAGCTTGCCCGTAATCAATCCGCCACGCTTCATTCTGCAAGACACCGACTTCGTCGAGCACGGCATCAAGGGGGCCGCCATCCACATCTACCAAGCGCAAGAGTCTGCCATTCAGCCAAATAACATGACCTGGCTGTGCAGCCTGGTATGGGACAACAAAGGTTTCAACGCCTTGAACTGGCATTCAAGAACAACCCTCCCTGCCTCGTCGAGCTTGCTGTGGACTGTGTAGGCACTGGGGTCTCCTTCACGGTGTACATCAGCGGGAAGTTGCAGTCACCTGGGGCGGCGACGGGATTTGATGTCCAGTACAACATGGATAGAGAGGAATAGACCTCGATGCTGCGTACCCGGTTCAGAAAAAAAAAAGGAGTAAGAAAAGGTCGATCGCGGTCATGGGTAGCAAAGGAGTTTAGGAATGGTCATGAGATTGGGGAATTGGAACCTTTTTTGGGGGAGCTTGGCGCCTAGGTAGAACTCCCATTTAGACGACAGATAACTGTACCTAATGAACCAACATGACACGACTGCCCCACGCCTCGCCTGCCCTCGTTAGGACAACTTCGCAGCGCGGTCTCGAGGATGTTCAGGTTGGTGGTTGGGTTGGCAGGTGGAGCCGGCAGGGTTAGGGGTCGATAAGGTGGGCTAGTGGGTGGCTCAGTGTCGCGTCAAAGACCCCCATTCCACGACTTGGCGCGTCAGGGTAGGTATCCCACTCTCTCTCTCAACCACCACCGTCATCGCTTGCACACCTGCCCCCACGATGTAGAGTTGCGATGGCAGCGCTGACTCCATACACGTATATCCAATGCCCATGCTCGGACTTTTCGACGCTCGGCCGGTCATCAGACCCCAACTTACCAGGGGGCACCGAAGCCGATGACGATGACGACCGCACTTTTGACCCCCGTGCCCTGCGCGCAAACTACACCCTCTACCCACTCGAGTACCTACTGTACTGCGAAGACTGCCACCAGATCAGGTGCCCACGCTGTATCGCCGAGGAGATCGTGACCTACTACTGCCCAAACTGCCTGTTTGAGGTGCCGAGCAGCAACCTCAAGAGCGAGGGGAACAGGTCGGTCCCGTCGCCCTCTTCACCATTCGCCGGCTGACTGACGGGCCGCTTTTCAGATGCACCCGGAGCTGCTTCCAATGTCCAATATGCATCGGCCCACTCGCCGTGACGAGCGTAGAGACGAAGCCCGACCCGAGCCTGCTGGCCGCCCCAGACAACGCCGCCGCGCCGCACACCGGCCCGTACGCCCTGACCTGCTCCTACTGCGCCTGGAGCTCGGCCGAGGTCGGCATCCAATTTGAAAAGCCGAATGGCATACACGCCCAGCTGGCGAAGCTACGGAACGGGGGCTCGACAAGGTTGACGGCCAAGGAGCGGAAAGAACGGCGTAAGGATCCGTCATTCCGCCCCCAGCCGGCAACGGAGGGCCAAGGTGCGCCGAACGAGACGGAGGTTCTAGACCTCGAGACCCAATTTGCGAACCTGAAGGCGTTTTACCAGGACCAGCTCGCAAACCCCAACTCAGCCGACACTGGGCTCAGCACCCTGGGCGACCTCGGCTTCTCCTCGCCCACCTCGCTTTCGCGCATCATGAGCATCTACACCGGCGGCAGTTTGCAGGATAAGAAGGCCAAGTCGCGGCTTGGCGCCATGCGGGAAGCGCTGGATGCCAACGAGGGCCTCCAGTTAGCCAAGCTCGACGAGTCGGCCGCCATCGAAGCGTTGCGATCCGAAGGCCACGGCAGCACCGCGTCGGCCGCCCAGCTCGCCGACCAGCCCCCGAACCTCGGCGAAGAGCACCTCCACGGCCGCGGCCGCTTCACCTCGGAGCTCCGCCCGATCCCCTACCTCCTACGCACCAAGCGCTCCAAACGCTGCCCCGTCTGCCGGCACATTATCAGCAAACCCGAGGCCAAGGTCCAGACCACGCGCTTCCGCATCCGCCTGGTCGCGGGCAGCTACATCCCCAGCATCGCCATCCGGCCCCTCTCCCTCTCAAGCGGCACCGGCACCGGCACCTCCGCCTCCGGATCCGCCGTCCCGGGCGCGCTGCTCGAGCCGTTGCGCCCGGCGCACTACCTGCTGACTTTCAAGAACCCCATCTTCGAGACCATCAAGGTCACCCTGGGCGCCCCGGCCAAGACCCCGGGCCGCCTCGCCAGCAAGGTGACGGTGCTGTGCCCGGAGTTTGAGATCGACGCCAACACGGACGTGTGGGACGAGGCCCTCAACCAGGGCGGCGGCAGCGAGCGGGACAAGCGACGGCGGCGCGGCGAGGACGGGGCCGCCGCCGCCGCCGGTAGTGGCAGCCAGAGCAACATCAACCACCAGAACCAGCTGGAGGTGGGCAAGATCTGGGAGCGCGGCCGGAACTGGGTCAGCATCGTCGTCGAGGTGGTGCCGGCGTCGCTGCGCCTCGAGGAAGGGGACCCGCCGCTGGCCGAGGACGAGGATATCCTCGAGATCCCCATGTTTGTGCGCGTCGAGTGGGAGGCCGAGGCCGGTGGGGATGAGGTCGGATCTGTCGCTGCTAGGGATCGGGAGGCGAGGGAGAAGCGCGAGCTGGCTTATTGGTGTGTTTTGGGGTTGGGGAGGATCCGGCCGTAGGATGTGGAATTGCGGTTATGCTTGCCTGTTAACCTACGTATGACGAAAGGAGATACCCCTAGAATTATGTTTGCATTGCAGGTTCTCGCATTTCTTCGTATGCTCCGTTGACGATTGTTTTCTCTTTTTTTTTTTTTTCTAATACAATATGTACAACACCCGCCACGCCGACCACTCACCGCCCATCAAGCCCCAAACTGGTCCTGGTAATTGGTCAGGCAGAATCGGTACTTGACGTCGTTCTTGTGCAGCCGCTGCATGATGTCGGCCAGGTTCTTCTCGTTGATGGGCACCTCCTCCACCCACGTGTTGATCCCCTTGTCGGCCGCCAGCTGCAGCATCTCGAGCGTCTCCTTCCGGCTGCCGAGATGCGAGCTGCCGAAGAAGCAGCCGTTGCTGAGGAAGGTCTGGTTGCGGATCTTGATGCCGTCGTCCTCAGGCAGGCCCACGCTCACCCACTTGGCGTGCACGTCGAGCAGGCTCAGGTAGGCGTCGAGGTCGAACCCGTCGAAGCTACTGGCCGTGTTGACGATCAGGTCAAACGTCATGACGTGCGGCACGTTCCAGTCCTTGTCTGCCGTCGCCAGGAACCCGTCCGCCCCGAGCTTGCGCGCGTCCGCCTCCTTGGCATGCGTCCGGCTGATCGCCCACACCTCGGCCCCGAGGGCCTTCGCGAACAGCACACCCATGTGACCGATGCCGCCCAGCCCCACGATTCCCACCTTCTTCCCGGGCCCGCACCCATTTCGCACCAGCGGCGAGTAGGCCGTCAGGCCGGCGCAGAGCATGGGGGCCGCCACTGTGCTCGGGAGGCTGTCGGGGATGGGGAAGACCCTGGCAGTAGAGTTATGTTAGCCAACGCGCGCTGGCGGAGGAAGAGAGAAAGAGAGAAAGAGAGAGAGAGAGAGAGAAGCACAATGGTGGACATACCAGTGCTGGTGTGTCCGCACGTGTGAAGAGTAGCCGCCCTGCGAGACGATACCCGTGTCCGGCCACACGGCGCCGTACGTGTCGAGCTGCTTCCGGCAGTACGTCTCGTTGTCGTTCTTGCACTGGCGGCAGTCGAGGCAGGCGTAGCTCTGCGCGCCCACGCCCACGCGCTGCCCTTCCTTGATCAGCGTCACCTTGGGTCCTACCCGAACCGCCGTCCCCACGATCTCTGCGTTGTGTCAGTGGCCAAAGCGGTCGTTGTGAGCAAGGGGAGCCGAGTCCTACCATGCCCAACAGCCAGGGGGAACTTCTGCTCGCCCCAGCCGCCGCTGATGGTGTGGAGGTCGCTGCCGCAAACGCCGCAGCACTCGATCTTGACGTCGACATCGTAATCGCCAAACGGCTTCGGTTGGAACTCGTTCTTGTTGAATTCCAGCCAGGTATCCGGCCCATTGACCTGGAGCCCGGTGAACTTCTCAGGATACGGCATGATGATTTGGTTCGTGATGTGGTAGGTATGGTATTAACGGTGATTGAATCTTTGGGTTCAACTGGCAGCAGCGAGAGGAGGGCAAGAAGAGTACGACGGATTCACTTCGGGTTAAACAAAACCTGGGCCCCGCCTTTTAAAGGGCCCCGTTCAAGACACCCGCGAGGAGGGGCACCCCGCGTCCCCCACTCGAGGTTGGAGCATCGTGATATTATCCAGGAATCGTTGAACGGCCTAATTGGGCCAATGGACACATCTGGGGCTCTCGTTTTGGGGAACCCGCCTTCCACCAGGACGGTGATGCTGCTTTCCTCCGCTAACCCCGCTGTACCCCGCCATGCGCCGGGTGGGAACAGCATGCGGGTCCGGGCGAACTCTGGAGACAGCTTGTGCCGGGTTTTCCCACAAATCAGAACGCTTGCCGGCCGGTCGCCTCAGAGCCGCGGGGAAAGTCGGCGTGAACGGGCCGCGGGGGGTACGGTGTGGAGGCCAAAGGGATTCACGCAGACGTTAGCTTTTGAAAGTCAAGTTCAACGACGAAACGGACGGGCATGGTTGTCCTGAGGTGGGTCGGAAGAGGCGGGTGTTTGAGTAGATCGTGGGTTTACACACTCCCAGGCCCGGTTTTGCCCTGGATAAGTGGATTCTAGCTGGAGACTGAGGGAATTGACAAGCAAGAGGCCATTACTTCACAAACGTTTTTAGCCGCCCACGCCGGCATCGGTTTTTCCTTCACGCCCACCTCTCAGATTCAGGTTTGAGATGCCCCACCCCGAGGAAAAACGAGTTCGAGAGCACGGCGTTGGTTCCCAAGGCATCAACGATCTTATCATGATAACGACACCGAGGCGGAGAGCTGTCGGAGCCAGTGCCCGCGGCGGGTAGTCAAACATGCAGACAACGGCGCCGGCTCTTCCACAACCATACGCAGATCGGCTGCTCAAGCTGCTTTGATGAGCTTGCCCTTGCCGGCAAAACCGACCCCGGTTAGAAACGCAATCCGCATCGAGGCCCCGAGATAGACAAAGCCAATATTCCCCCAGTCAATAGCGTTCCACTCGAGCAGGCTCCAGTAGATCTGCGGACCTAAGACGCTGACGGTGTAGAGGTGGCCCAGGTCCGCGACAAGCAAGCAGAAGAGCACGGCCTTCCAGACGCGGAGGTCGGAGGTGGAACGTAGCACTATGGCCTCGCTGAGGGCAAACGCAAAGTAGAGATTGGCAAGCTGCGACATGGCGATCGAGGTACCCAGCGGGATGGGCGACGGCGCGGAGACGGCATGGGTGAGATCGAGGTAGGTACGCTGGTCGAAGAAAGCGTAATATGCGCCAGCGAGGGTCGCAATTGGCTCAATGAGCAGGAAAAATAAGCGATAGAGTACGGGCAGTGTAAAGCCGGCCGTCCCGGTGGCTGGAGCTGTGGAGGCCATCTTTGTGTTTATTATCGCCGTCCTTGGGTTGGATGGGAGCGGACGAACTCCTCTTCGCGACGCGTTCGTGGAGTTGGTGCACCCAAGGCCTTGAACCGTGCAGAGAGGCCCCTGAAGCGCAGGGTTGCAGATGCCCCGCATCTCGCCAGCTCACACCGCCTATGCACCTGACTTGGGCCCACCAAAACTTTGAGGGCTGCAAGGGCTGCAAACCCTAACCGCCCAATTCAACTGGTCGACTTTTTACGCAGCTTCAGCTCTCGGAATCGCCTCGAAGTCAGTCAACCACCGGTATCGTCGACAACCGCCAACATGAGCTCGCCGTCCCTGAACAAGATTGCGGCTAACAGCCCGAGCCGCCAGAACCCCTCGGAGCTCGAGCAGGGCATCGCCACCGCTCTGTACGATCTCGAGACCAACACTGCCGACCTCAAGGTCGCCCTCCGCCCTCTGCAGTTCGTCTCGGCTCGTGAGGTGAGAATCCGCCCGTGAAGCACCCGCACCTGCGATATCCGAACCACACCCGGGTCCTGTTCCACCGACTGGCGAGCGATTGAGACATCGCCGCGCGTCGGGCGTCGTCGCATTGGAAGATTGATCACAAATGGGAAGGCGGGCAGGCGGGCGGGTGGCCTCGGGCGCCGGCCCGTCCTGCTCGGCGGCCATAACATCAAAAAACCATATAGAACGCGGAATAGGACGGGAGCGGTCCATGGATTGCAGTGTCATCCTGGAGCTCGCATGCTGACTTGGATCTGGAACAGATCGAAGTTGGCCACGGCAAGAAGGCTATTGTCATCTTTGTCCCCGTCCCTTCGCTGCAAGGCTTCCACCGTGTCCAGCAGCGGTAAGTTGTTTTCTTTCTTTTTTTTGTCTTCTTCTAAACGACAGGCGATACTAACTCTGTGCAGCCTCACCCGCGAGCTCGAGAAGAAGTTCTCGGATCGCCATGTCCTGATCCTCGCCTCGCGCCGCATTCTGCCGCGCCCCAAGCGCTCCAGCCGCTCGCGCAACACCCTCAAGCAGAAGCGCCCCCGTTCGCGCACCCTCACCGCGGTGCACGACGCCATTCTGACCGACCTCGTCTTCCCCGTCGAGATCGTCGGCAAGCGCCTTCGCACCAAGGAGGACGGCTCCAAGACCCTCAAGGTCATCCTTGACGAGAAGGAGCGTGGCGGTGTCGACTACAGGCTCGACACCTACTCGGAGGTCTACCGCCGCCTCACCGGCCGCGGCGTCATCTTCGAGTTCCCCCAGACCAGCGCCGCCGACTACTAGGCGTGAGTAGATGGGATGGGCTTGTTTGTGGGCTGGCGCACCGAGGTCAGATTTGGGTTTGGGATTCGGGTTCGGTCTGATGCATGGGACTCAAAAAGGACGGCGTTCAGCTAGCTTGTGACAATGCAAGCTTGATTTCCACCACACCTCGTCCCCACAATACAAGCCATTTTGCAAATCGTTTGATGCTGCGGGGTCGTGATATGCTTTGTTCTGGAGTTGATCCAGTGCCCCTTGTCCGGGTCTGGTGACTCAGATCGACAAGGGGTCGGTTGGTATTCGTATTGGTATCCTACGGGGTATTCCTATGGCTCGTCGATGGGTCATAAGTGCACTCCGTAGCCCGGATGCTCCTCCCGTGCCCACTCAAAAATTCTCGCCCAAACCTCTGGCCCGTCGTCTTCTCTGTCCATGGCTTTCTCAATACGCAAAAGAGCGACCTTGTCGTCTTCGTTTAGGCCAAACCACCGAGTGGCGTCCCGGACTCGCAGTTTGGCGCACTGGGCATCTTTCTCGGGATGGCCCTGCATCGTCAGAATCGTGCGGTCGTGACTCAAAAAGGCCTGGTTGCCAACAAGCAGCTCGTGGAAACCCCTCGGAGGCGTGCCGACACCCCGGCGGTGGTGCTGCTGCAGCCGGACGATGCCGTTGCCGTTCTCCCTCCCAAAAAAACGGCTGCCCGCAGGCGTCAGTTCTGCGTCGGTTACGCCCAACTGTGAAGGGTTAGCTGGAGCTCCTCCCCTGATAACCTCCCGCAACATCCGCCTCCCACTCACCTCGGGCGTCTCCATATCCACCAGCTCGGCCCCAAACAACATCGAGATGGTCTGGTGACCCCAGCATATCCCGCAGAGCTTCGTCCGCGGGTAGTTGGCAACCACGTCGAGGATGAACTTGTGGACGCGCAGGATCCAGGGGTGCTTCTTGCGCGGGTCGGCGTTCCCGCCGCCGACCACGATCAGGTCGAACGCGTCCGGGTCCGGGAAGTCGTCCGGCTTCTCGGCCGGGAGGAAGAAGGTGAGCTCGGCGTCGTCGCTGGCGACCGCGCCCGTGGAGCGCACGTACGAGTCTCGGATCTCGGCGATGAAGGGCGAGCGGTACGAGTTGAGCAGGACGGCGACCCGTAAGGGCGGCTGGATGCGTGTTGGGCTCATGTTGAATGAACCGGGTGGGGTGTTTACATGTACCTGGCCCGCCCAGGTAAAAGGGAGGAAGGCCGGGGCTTGGGGGGGCTTTATACCTGGCCTTGGGGGTGTAATTCCAGGTCCAAGTGGATCAGCTGATGCGGTCCAGGGGGCCAACAGGCTAAGGACCAGCCCGAGGCACAAGGTCCATATTGCAAATGACATCACAGCTGTTTCGAGGCGGTTCCGAGATTGCATGGATGCGATAGAAGTTGGGGGGTGACATTTCGAGATCAATTGGTGAACAGCTGCATTGATGAACTAACTACATGCTGTGTGAGTGTGTGCTACTAAGTACAGATTGATGAGCAGACGACAACAGACGAAAGCGAGAACGGTTTCGGCACATGGGGATGGCACAGCGCGAGCCCAGTCAGTCGGGAACTGGGGGGCATCCACTCCTTGCCCGGAACCTCGTCCTATTGGTGACGAATCGTTCCCCACAGTGATCTCGGGCTTGGTGCTGCGGCAAGCCACGGGTCATCTCATCGGTACTTCGTACTTCCATCAATCGTCTCGAATTGCTTTAGGCAAGAATGATGCAGACCTCAACACATGGAGGTCCGCAAGGGAAAGGGCCGGCTTGTAAAATGGCCGAGGGTGACATCGCATAGCAAGGCAAAAGGAATAGACTGCTAGAAACAGGAATTGCTGTGAATCATTTTGAACCTGTTCTCTCCAGGAAGAGCTGGGGTAAACTCCTTTCTACCAAGTGCTTCTACCATGGTCCGGTCACATCAGGATATGATTCCAACGCCCCGATTCCCCAGAGTATCAAGCCAGCTCCCAAGGCTACATCCTATAAAACACAGCCCCTTATAATGTGGCCTCCAAATAAAGATTAGAAACGCCCGGCCTGGACCATCACGCAACAGCCCGGTCATTACATGTACCTACTTAAGCCACTCACATTTGAGCGGGCGGCTTAAAGTCGGAGTGGCTCACAGCGACAAGCGGCTCACAGTTCATGAGCCGAGAAAAGACAGCTCATACCGCATTTGAACGGCTAAGTTAAAGTAGCGGCACTGTTGCTATCCATGGTTGATATCTGGTAGCGGCTCGTTGGCTACTTAGCGGCTTGTTGAAGCAAACGACTTGCGAAAAACGAGCGGGGTGATATTAAGGTAGCTTATGAGATTGAGCGGCTCGTATTAGTATCAAGGCGCCATCAACTAACCGGCAAGTCAACAACCCATGGAGGTCACTGAGTATACGATGGTAAGATCTGTACTCCTCCCTCAACCTGAACCTCCCCAGCCCCAACAGCACTCCACGCATCTCAAACCCCACACCCCACCTCCATCACAGCGCCATTTCCCCCAACACCAGCGCCTGCTCCCACTCCCACACGGACAGCAGCACGGCCTCCCGGAACGCAGCCTGACGCACCGGTGCGCGCCCTGGGCTTTACGTCCCGCCACGGCAAGACGATGGCTGGCTGGATGTAGTGACGGCACGGTGAGGGGCACGGACACGGGCCCGGGCGCCGGGTGGGGGAAAGGGTGAGCGGGGGTGAGGCGGCCGCGTAGTAGAGGTGAGGGGTAGGGGATGTCCCGGTCCCAGTTTGGGATGCTGCTGCCCTGGTCGGTGGGGTCGACGCGGACGGCCGGCAGTGGGTGGTGGATGGTGGGCGGTGAGACTGAAGTCAATGGCATGCACTGCGCTGCACGTTTGGGATGGTGCGCGGTAGCGCAGGGTTCGGGATGGGGTGGCAACAGAGGAGAGAGAGTGCAGCGGTATTTCGGCGACGGAACCGGTGAATATCCAAGCAAAAGCCTGGTCGAGCAGGAATGGGAATCGGGATGAGTTCTGTGAAAGATAAAAAAGACGTTTGTGGGAAGCAGCAGGAATTTATAGATGTGGCGGGGGTCAGGTCACGCACGGCACGAAGACAAGAATCAACAAGGCTTTCTGTGCTTCTAGGACGTCAGGTGCTTAGCGCCCAGGTCGCTTGGGACGGTTAAACCCCTTCTTCACTTCGGCTCTTGGGTGTAGTTCCTCCATCACGCCCTCCTCTGTGATCTCGGAGGCATCCTCCACCTCGAACTTCTTGTCTGGCTGCAGGCCGGCCTCCTTCTCCGCAATGGTAAGCACGGCTCGCTTCATGAGGGGGTACATCATGCGGAACTTGATGGCCTTGGTGCTAAAGTTGGTGGGGCAGGTGTAGAGAAACAGCAGGGGGCTGGATTCGCTGTCATTGTGCGTGTGCGTAAACCGGTAGAAGGTGAAACGGGGTTCTGTGGCCGAGATAGTCTGCACGAGCTCGGGGATTGACGTAGGGGCGGAGTGGTCGGGGACTAGCTCGACAGACTCGGACTCCGGGTTAATTTTCTAGCAAAGGCACACTTGTCAGCCGCTTGTCATGTACCGGGGACTGAAACCGTCGTGCGCACCAGCATGACCAATGTCCGCTTGTCTCCCGCCCCGAGGTCTTTCAAGGCCTGAAGCGCGTCCTCGGCGATTGGCGTGGCCAGGTTCTTGCTCAGATGGATCTCGCGGGTTCCCGTGCCCATGCCTGCCTCCTGCTCCGCGCGTCTGACTTCACCCAGGCTCCTCTCCTCCTCTGTGAGCGGGGCCTCCAGCGCGCTGTGGGCGTCGTGTTTCTTGAATCCGGCCGCGCTGAGCTCCTCGGGCATGGTGGCAAAGAAGGTGTCACGGAAGTGTTCGCTCCCGAGCTCGCGCACGAGAGTCAGGCGCGTCGAGGCAAACAGCATCTTCTGGCGCACGGGAGCAGTGTCGGGCACGTACGTCACAGCCACAAAGGCCGGAGCGGACGGGTGTCTGCGGAGGATGACATATAGGGCCTCGTTGGGCTTGATTTGCGGCCCTAGCAGAGACTCGACATTGGATTCGAAAGATGCGGGGGACGATGGCGTCAGGAGTTGTAACGGCCGCAGCTGCTCCGAAGCGATAGTCACGAGGAGGCCGAAGTGTTTGTCGGAGGAGAGCAGGTCGTTGAATTGGGAGACCAGCTCCTTCGATGCTGCCGCTGGCGCGTTAGCTTCTTTCCCAGGGTCACATATTCTGTATCGGGTCACGCACCCGAGATTCCAGACTGCATCGTAGCCTCGCTGGAGGTAATTTGGTGGACGCAGCGGGAGTTGCTTGAAGTCGTTAAGAACGACGTCAGGTCATGAGGCCGCTGAGACGTTTAGGCCCCGCCATGTCTGCCTCAACAGCGTGGGGTCCTGACCCACCTTCTGTATCGGGTAAGCGGGGTGGCTTGCCAAGCTTGCGAACCATTAAGCCTGAGCTGCCTTGGCTTTTGACTTGGGATGGGACGTTTTCTAATTTTGTTCTCTCTCTTGAGATTGGCTTCTCCATGTGCGAATTTTTTGTTTGTGAGGTGAGCCCGGGCAACACAGCTATGAGGATGCCGGCGCTATTGGCAGAGCCATGACTTCGGTGGTTAGCCTGACTTGCAAAAGTTCCCAGCATTAATTGGCCAGGCAGGCATTGGGGCCGAGGAGGAATTCGAAAGGTGGAGCGAACTTGGACGTTGGCCGAAAAATTGACTACCCGTACTTTGGAGATAGGTAGGAAGCCGTCTCATCGGCAACAGGTCTCTATATATCGATTCAACATGATTATTTCCTCTCTTCTTTTCAGTTTCCAGCTGCTCAACTCGGCGTGTCCGTCTCATTCCATCCCAGCGCGACCGTCGGATCGCCAAGATGCCAATTTCGGAAAGTAGCTGGCAAGCAAACTCGCTTCTGGTGCCAATCATCGTGGGCGGTTGCCCCTGGGGTTTCGGGGGCCAGACCCGTTCCAGGCACCAAGGGGCGAGAGCAAAAACAGCAATGAATCCTCTTGTGCCTGTTCGTTCTTTTTTTTCGCTGGTTGGTCTTTCGCCTTCGCTCGTTCTGTACATACATATACTTGTCGTCCGCCATGTCGAGATAGAATCGACGTCCAATCTTTTGTCTGTTAATTGCTAGTTAATTGCTAGAGTCATTCTTTTTTTTTTTTTTTTTTCCGCGCCCGCCTCGCGATGGCGCTCCACACTCGCTTATCCATGCTCGCGATCGGCGCACTCGCGGCCACAACCGCCACCGCCCAACATGTGCTGCTCCCTTTCTCCCAGCATACCAGCAGCGACATCAATCTCTCGGCGCGGGGCTCGAAACAGACCACCCTCACATCGTCCGAATATGCCTATGTCATCGATGCCACGGTCGGCACCCCTCCACAAAAGGTGTCACTGCTTATCACGACCTCGGTCGGTGACACGTGGGTTCCCGACGCAAATACCCCCGAATGCTCCCCCGAATGGTACTACCGGAACCAGTATTTCTACGACGATGAGGACTTGCAAGATGACAACATCCCCAAGGCTCAGTGTACGTGGGGAAGCTTCAACAAGACACGGTCCTCGACATATCTGCCCCCGAACTCACGCTACGATGACTTCAGCGCCGCCTACATCGATTCCAGCAGCGTCTCCGGCGCCAACATGACCGACAAGCTGACGTTTGGCGGCCTCGAGTTCAACGATTACCCAATGGGCCTGGTCTCAAACGCGTATCGCTGGATTGGCATGCTCGGCCTCGGCGCCAACAACTCGGCAAACTATTATAGCTCCGCGTCGGCTGGCAACTACGCCAACGTCGTGGACCGCATGGTTTCGTCCGGCAAGATAGCGAGTCCCGCCTACAGCATTTGGCTGGATGATGCCAAGGGGACCTCGGGCGGCTTGCTGTTTGGCGCCGTCGACCGATCGAGGTACACGGGTGATCTCGTGCGCGTTTCGGCGTCTAGCTCGTACTCGTACTCGTACTATTCCTACGGGTTCGTCACCACGCTCAACAGCATAAACGGCACTTCCGCGTCGGGAGAAGCCATGCCAGCCATCAGATCAAACGACTTCCCAGTCGATGTCACCGTCGGTCCGGGCGAGGTATTCTCGTTTTTGCCCTCGCGGCTGGCGGACCAAATCGCCGACATGGCTGGCGCCACCTATAATGAATCGGCCGAGGTCTTCTTGATTCCTTGCGATGCCGGCAAGACCAACAACACGAAGTTCGTCCTCGAGCTCGGCGGCACTGACGGGCCTAAGCTAAACGTGGAAACGGCCGATCTCGTACTGCCAATTACCGCCTTTGCGGGCTACCAGCGCTCTCGCCTACTTGGGTCCGACTCGTGCATGTTTGGCATCCAGAAGAACGACGAGAGCGCCTACTCGAGCAGCTCCTCTTCTTACGTCTACAACCTCGGCAGCTCCCTCCTCCGGCGCAGCTACATCGTCTTCGACCTGGCCAACCGCGAGATTGCCCTGGCCCAGGCCAAGTTCCCCTCTGGCTCCAACGCCCCGGCTTCAGACATTGTGGCGTTTGAGAACTATGGCGACTACACCCCGGGCGCATCCGAGTTATGCACCAGCAGCTACTGCCGCGACTCTGACGGTGGCTCGGGCTCGGGCTCGGGCTCTGGTTCAGGCTCGAACGGACCGTATAAATACGGCGGTCCCGAGAACGGGGTCCAGCACTGGGAGAAAGTTGCCATTGGAGTCGGCGTCACATTTGGCGTGCTCATTCTCGCCGGTGTGATCACGGGTATTATCCTCTGTACCCGCTCAGGTCGTGGCAAGGGAGTCGCAAAGGAGGTTGACGAGGAGGGCTCGGGAGGAGACACCCCGCCGGCCACCTTGACCAACCCGGAAATGACCCAGAACACCAGGGGTTCGATGATCCTACCGCCAGGGCCTCTGCCGTCCATTCAGGAGGGGACTGAACCACATGCGCAGACACATACGCCGGCCCCCCAACTGCCAGCCCTAGGGACGCAGCTTGGCCAGCCGATCACGCCTCCTGAGCCCACGGCATCTGCCAACTCAAACCGCCCATCGGTTGCCGTGTCCGCCCTTTCCCAGGAGCAGGAGACGCAGACATATGGCTCTACGCCGGAGTCTGAGGCTGCGGTACCGGCATCGCCGAAGGGCAAGGGGAAGGCTGTGGACCGGAACGAAGACTGATATGAACGTCGCCATGTACTAGTCGTAATTCTAATGGAGATACCCTTTTTGTGTGCTACTACCGCTTTGCTGTTGTGAATGTGAATCTTGGGCGGTGCAGTCTTCACCTGAAGCGACGTCATTGCGGATGTGCAATAGCGGAATGGCACCCCAAGCATCCCGCATTGTTATGCCAGACGTGGAGTCGTCTTGAACCGGGACACTTTGTTATAGATCATTGGCGGCACAGCAAGTCGCCTCCCCTACCAGCCGTTGTGAACCGCGCTTGTTGATGGTTGGGGGGATTGACGTCATGCACCACCGACGTCAATCACCACCAACTTGCACGCCATACCCTGTTTCTATAAATCACGTTCGTCCAAGTCACAACTCGCAGCCGTGCCATCGCTTTCCATTATCGTGATCTCAGCAGACCAAGAACTAGGAATATCTATAGATACCATACTGTTGCGTCTCCCGTTATCATCACATCACCACCATCACCGTCATACAAACCACTTAATTACACCAACAATCACACTCACATCATCAAACCCCACCGAAGAGTAAGAAATCCAAAATGGCCGTCACCAGCGCTATCACCGACCTCGTCAAGTCCGTCGTCGAGCTACTGTCCTCGGTCTTCAGCGCCGCCTACGCCATCGTCCACTCGTTCGTCAGCGGCGTCCTCGGCCTGTTTGCCGGCTTCTTCGCCTTTGTCGGTGACCTTGGCCAGGGCGTGTTTGACCTGGCTGGCGGGGTGGGGAAGTTTGTTGCTGGTATGTGCTCCTGTTTCCTGGTGTTTTGTTGGTGTGCCGTCATGGTAGTCCGTTCGTGCTGGGGAACGGCTCAGAAAACATGAGGGTAGTAAAATAAGGCTGACTGCTGACTGAAACACTCGTAGGGAATGCCGCCATCCTTGCCGCCCTCGCCGCCGCATATTACGCGTACGTCCGCTTCGCCCAGCAGCCGCAGCAGGGCCGGAAGCCGGCCGTCACGAACGGGGCGGGGGTCAAAAAGACAAACTAAGCATCCGGGCCAACGCAGAGAAGAGGGGGTTACTTTGGGAGTTGGGTCCTGTCGAGTCTGTGTTTCCTTGGTTAGCGTCCCGTTCATGATACCATCGTCTGGGGTCAGTTAGTTCAGTTAGCGTCTTGGGCACATTCAGCCATTGCGCTCACGCTCTGGTTGTCAATTAACAAGATGTATTCTTCTAGAATGGAGACAAATGTACGGTGCTCCAACTGAGTGGCATGTCTTTCGTATACAGACCGACCAAAATAAGTGACGAGAAAAAGGTAGCCAAGAAACCAGTAAACTCGAATCCAATCCAAACTCCATCCCAACGCTGCCCCGCTCCTCTATGTCTCGCATTCTAGTGCATTAGTTGTAGGGTATTCGAATGCTGTCATCAAATCTCATCACGCGCGGCTAGTCCAGCATGGACTCCACGGCCGTCTCGTACTCCTCGTCGCCTTTGCCCTTCTGGACAATGACGGGATACGGCGCCATCCCGTCATCCGTCTTGTCTTTCTCCTTCTCCTTCTCGTCCTGCTTCTCCTTGTTCTCCTTCTCCACCTCGGTATCGCTCTTGTCCCCCTCCTTCTTCCCCTTCTTCGCCCGGCCCTTCTTCTTCTCCACCTCACTATCCCCCTCATACGCCTCGGCATCATCCTCGTGCGCCGCCGCCTCGCCCTCCTTCTTCTCCACGCGCGCCGTCCGCGCGCCGCCGGCATTCGCCTGGGCATTATCCAGATCGACGCCGCCCTTCTCGCCCATGCCGCCCTCCTCGAGCTCGCCGCCCTCGATGACGACGCGCAGTTCGAGGTCCTCGTCCTTGGAGTAGACGCGCAGGCCGACCACGGCAATGGCGTTCCACGGGTCCGGCTCGTTCTCGTCCTCGGTGTCGTCGCGGTACTTGCTCACCGTGGCCGCGTTGGGCGGCGGCGGCGCTGCCATCCGCGGCTTGCGCGACATGTCGTCGCTGCTGTACAGCGCCTCCCAGTCCTCGGTCGGCGACGCGCTCGACTCGCCGTCCGACGTCACGTACATGTTGGGCGCCTTCTTTGCGGGTGCGGCGGCGGCCGGCGGTGCGGGAGGGGGTGGGCCGCCGGATACGGTGGACGCGTCGGCCGGCGGGACGGACACCTTCTCCTTGTCCTTGTCGTCGGTGCTAGGGGTCGAGGAGGTGTCGCTCTTGGGGGTGGGGGCCGGCGTGCCGGTAGAGGAGGAGCTGACCGAGGATGCAGCCTTGTCTTCCCGTTTGTCCTCAGACTTGTTATCGG